GGGGGGCGATGGGGGCACACAGAGAGTGATGCTGGTCCAGGAGAGTCCGAAAAAAAAAAAAGAAAAAAAACATCCCAGAGAGAAGAAGAACGGTGGCACTGACAGAGAAAGCGAAGGCACCTCTGGTTGCAGCGCGGCTGTGATCCACAGAGCAGTGGACGATTGACCAACTTCCTGTCTCAAAGGGCTACCACGCCTTAATACGTCCTGACAACTCAGTTTTTCCCATAATGCCACTAATCAGAAAGAATATGGTTTATTTCCAAACACCGTAGCTGTTCCTTGTAGAATTTCAAATCTTCATCAACCTCATGAGCGCTCCACTGTCCATTTGCATTGAGTTTCAATGATAACCGAGTTAACCAAACCCTCTGTCTCTGTGTTCTGAGCCAGAACCTCCACGTTACTACAGTTTTATCCACGTAACCTGCACTGTTCATACTCCTCCATCCAACTTATTTATTTCTGTTAAACTGTGAACACTAGCACAACTGCTGCACCGTCCTGTTATTATTATTATTATTATTTTTCAACCCTGTATCACAACAAACCCCGATGTCTACATGTAGTGATGAGCGATGAGCTGATGCCTCTTTTTAGCCTGATGTGCTCTTAAGGGTTTTCCCTGTGAAAGTGTCCTGAAAGCCAAAGACTTGCAAAGTGCCTGATATGGCAATGTACTTTGGACTAATTTCCCAGAATGTACCGGCATCACCACACATCACCACAACTGATCAGAAAATTCTACATTCTTAAGTCCGACTTTTACCGATGATGATCATGATTTGGACTCGTCTTAATGTGTTATATATATAAATAATGTTTATTGATTAACCTGAAACAGAGGATTATGCTTTCTGCTGCGGTTTATAATAGTTTAGGCTGAGCTGCAGATTGTTTTACCAAATAAAGTAAAATAAAATACATTGCAAGAGTCCTGTAATCTAGATGCTTAGGCCTATTTTGGTGGATTTGACTTTAAAGCTAATGAATAAAAAAGTGCTATATTGTTGATCTGTGTTACTGTTTTTTTCTGTATCTCCTAAATCAACTGATAAACTTTGAAATACTTAATTTATTTTTCAGGATTTAGAGCTGCTTAAAGGTAAAATCTACTCAAATGTGAGGTGCTAGTTGTAAAAGCTGGAATGTGCCGAAATGTGGAGTTGGTAAAATAACAGCAGGTGGCAGACTTTTCCTGAAAATAAAATTGAAAAGTTTCCACATGAATGTAATTCTATAACCATGCAAAAAAACAAAAACAAAACTATAACTATATCAACAACCTGAACTTCCCCCAGACGTTGTTGCTAATTCTTTAGGTTTTAATAACGACTGGTATCTATATTTTGACTAAATTTCCGTTTACTTACATCTTTAAGTTGTCCTAACCACGACTTACCAAAACCTTTTACTAAATTTCATATGAATTCTTCAACTCTGTGGAGCACCAACAGATTGATTATTGTGGATAATTCTCATTATATGATAAATCTGAACACTCACTGAGGGACAACTGTCGACTTTTATAGAACATGACTATGTATTAGCTTGCTTCCACCAGCAGTTTTCAGCCTCCCTCGATTTTTGATGAGATCGATTATCATCCAATCCAAAATCAGACAGAACTAGAAATGAAATCTTTGCACCATTTCAGGTGATAATTTGGGTGGATTTTACCTTTACAGACTTATAAAACGATAAAAATAAAAGTCTTAGTTTTCAGATTGACTTAACCATACGTTGTTTTTTTTTTCTGAAGGTGTAACGTTGTGGTTTCCTAACAGTGATGCTGCTGTACAGATTTTGCTTACAATACTTACTTACTCTACAGTACTATGTGTCAAGCATTTTTCTTTTTTTTTGTCCATGTCCTCCTAAACAGACTCCATCAATCCTCCCATACATTCATCATACTGCGTGGTGTACATATTTATGGCAAAGGAATGGGTTTTTACTTTGGTTTCGAAGTGATACGTTATCACTGTTGACTTAATTTGATCAAGAACGCTGCATGTCTTAGTAGCCTGCAACTGTAAGCATTTTGCCTTTCTCAGTCAGGTCCTAGATCTGACCCAGAAGATGAATGTTTATACTGTGCACACACACACATAAACCATATCAGTCTTACATTATGTCAGGTTATTTTCTCCCATGATTCTTGAATGATATTTGCCTTTGGATGTATTCCACTTTAACCCTGGTTGAATATTGTTGGTACTGCAAATAATTACATGATAATAAACTATATGTGAAATGCTAGTTGTGTCATACTTGTGTTATTTGAAGTACAAAAAAATATTAAATATTATGATACTTCTAAAATGGTCAATTATATGCCAATTGTGCTGAATTAGAGACAGAAGTTTTGGGCAGATCCCTGGTTCTATGACACTTTTGCTCGTCTCCCAATGTTGTTGTTCTTGTTAAAGTGGACTGTGATAGATCAAACTGTTTATATTACTGTACACAAGCTAACGAAAAGCTTTAGTTTCCTTTAAATACTTCCTACTACGACGGAGTATCACGGTCAATAATACCTAATGTACTTAACTGGGGCGTCGTTTTAAATAATGTAAGAGCCAGAAAGGACGTTACACCAACGTTTTGCCTGTGTGTGTAAACACCGCGAGAGTTTCCGTTATCGCGATTTCGTTCATTAGAATTCTAAAGAAATCTCGCGTTGTTTTGTACTACGGCGGCCTCTCTTCAAGACGGTGTGCTTCATGGCGGTTGGGGAGACTGCGGTAAATAAATCCCTCGAAGGGTCACTTTATTCATTTTCAGCCACTGGTTATTTCATTTGTAAATTAAATGCACCTTCTCGTAGATCGCAAGCGTAACAAGGACGTTTGGAATTAACAGTGAATGTAACGGGCAGGCGGAAAGCGCTTCACGCGCCATAAGTGATGAATGCCTCAGTGGCTACATTGAGTTAGCTTCGTGCTAACAATAATGGCAAAACCAGGCCTTGCGCATATGGCAATTGTATACACTTTGGTTATTGATGCGTAAAAACACCACTACGCTATTTCTTCTACTCATTGTAGCTTAAATGTTGCGGCTATATTTAAACATCAAACCTATTATTGTGCAATATTTAATATTAACTGAAACTACGGCGTTAGCAACCGTTAGCATGCCATTTATTGAGACGGGGACGGACTAAGATTCAAAACTTAAAGAGTTCGTTGTTGGTAAACCGTGTTGTTATCTAACACTTAGCAGTGTAAGTATACATTTTTTATTAGTCTGAAGGCATTTTTTATTTCCCTAGAATTTGTTGAATTCTAAACGCTTCCCCATCAGTCCTCTTCCTCTTGGGGGCTTTCCTGCCTAAGTCTGGTGGACCCAGCGATTAGCGGGTTGCGTAGGTAAGGAGTTCGTCAGGTCCCACCTGATTCTAACCTCCGGTGTCTTTCCTGTTTATGCTGCAATAGTTAGTAAAATATGTGCTAAAATTTGAGGAGATGAGACGTTTGGTTACAGTGCGTGTTGTTCATTGGGAATGTTAAGATATAGTTATGCAGACAGACAGACAGACGAGAGGTTTGTTTAACAGGTAATTGTACAATCTGACTTGCTGTATTCTATACTTGCAGGGAGGTGAAGCTCTAAAGATGGAGAATGGACAGGGCACAGGCTCCAAGCTTGGCCTGCCGCCTCTCACTCCTGAACAGCAGGAGGCACTCCAGAGGGTAAATGAACACATTTCATGCGCATATCCGTGATGATAATGTATTATGATTAGTCAGATACCACCTGGCCTTCTTGATATGCTAGGTTATGAAAATCACCTAAAAATGTTAATCGTATAAAGTACTGTTATACAAAGCAACAATTAATTATGGCCACAGATGTTATTATTTTATATGAATTAGTGTTTTAATTACATGTATTGAAATTGCTCTTTAAGCTTATTATATTTAGACCCAAAGTAAAATGTACATCTAATTGTTTTAAGTGAATTAACAGTACAGGTATCAGGTTATTCGTGTTAACTAAAACATTGTGTCCCCTTCAGTATGTATAACTAGGTATTTGTTTAATGCAAATGGAGTTTGATATGACATTGATGAAGTATAATTTTACATCTGGTAAAGAATTAAACTGTCCTTTTTCAGGCAAAGAAATATGCCATGGAACAAAGCATTAAGAGTGTGTTGGTGAAGCAGACCATTGCCCATCAGCAGCAACAGCTCACCAACCTGCAGGTGAGATGTGTAAAAAGTTTGGACTTTACAAGTAAAAAGGCCTTTATCTTATTTGTCACTGGTGACTCTTGATACAAAAAAAAAACAAACAACAACCCATAATGCTTACTATACTTTGGTCCTTCAGACACCTGTTGTCTCAGAACTGATTTGGGTTAACCCCCTTTTGGATCTCTTCCTCCCTAGTTCCCTGCACTGTCAGACACAAAATCACATGTGTAGTCCATGTGTCCTTGCCTTTGCTTCTACTCTTTTTTTTCAGATGGTGAAGATCGTCTTGAAGGAACTGATTTATCATGTTTAATGCTTTTCACTCTTAGAGGAGATTTGTTTATGTTTATTGCTGTGTGGTGATTTGTGGGCTTTAGCTTAACTGCAAAGCAAATACCTTTTTAAAAAGAAAAGCTAAGGGATATCTAACCTACTTTTCAGCACTTTTTTCATCTTTACTGTCTTTCAGATGGCAGCAGTGACAATGGGCTTTGGAGATCCTCTCTCGCCTTTACAATCGGTCAATAGATCATTAAATTTTTTTCTGTGCGCATTCTCAATGAAGAAAAAAAGGACTGTTACCCTTCTTTTTCTCGTTGCTTTGACAACATTCCCTGCCCCTTTGGCTAACCATATAATGCATATTTTGTAAGATATTTTGGCTTTCTTGCTGCTAATTTATCAGGGCTAGTGATCTTAAGAATGTAGATGTGGAATGAGTGCTCAGCCAAAGCTCTATTATTTTAAAGGGTTTTTTTTTAAGTGCTATGAGAGTGAGAAAAGTCACGTCTCTTTGGAAAATATGCATTTGCTCGATTTGTAAACTGGGACCTCTTGGCATGGGACGAAAGAGGGATAGCAATCTAATGGAACCAAATGAGAGAACTGCTAGGACAGGGTTCTTTTTTGGCCATCTCAAAGTCAATTTTTCTGTAATACATGAGTTACCTTTTGACTGCATTGAATTCTGAACACCTTTTACTTTTTGTTGGTAATAGTAAGATAAAAATGAAGCAGTAAAACACAGCTACATCTGGTGGTTAACCCACTGGTCTGCTTAGATTTGAGAAGAAAGTTTGAAATGCTTTCATGAAGATTTCGTTTGATCTCCACGGTTACTTTTGTTACCTTACTTGCATCCCTGGACCACAGGTCAGTTACTGAAGCCAAATATTTGTGAGGGCTGTGCATGTCAATCACCTCCGTGTGTTTACCTTCATACATCTGTTCAGAAGTAAAGGAATAGAGGCCATAATTTAATTACAAGTGATTATTCTTTGAACATGTGATTTATACACCTTAGTTATTTCCACACACTCTTTTCTATTGACTATTTTTATCCGAATGATAACATTGTGCCTGTCCAGACCCCCTAACTTGGAATTGGCCTCAAACTATTGTGGGGAAGGGAGAGAGAGAAAGCAAGTACATTTAAAAAGAGAACACACACATTTCTTACTAGTGACTGCGTGTGTGTTTTTGTGTGTGTGTGTGTGTGAGCGAGAGAGACCATTTTTCTTCCAAATATTTTACTCTCTATTGCTTATCATGTGTCTTTCCTGCTCGACAGGTGGCAGCTCAGCGGCAACGTGCTCTGGCCATCATGTGTCGAGTGTATGTGGGCTCTATATACTATGAACTCGGTGAGGACACCATCAGACAGGCCTTTGCCCCCTTTGGACCAATCAAGAGCATTGACATGTCCTGGGATTCTGTTACAATGAAACACAAGGTATTGAACCCGAGGCAGCGTCTCTGTCAACTTCGATCAAAGAGACTTTTTTTTTTTTTTAATTCATTTTTGACTACAGGGCTTTGCCTTTGTGGAGTACGATGTACCCGAGGCTGCTCAGCTCGCTCTGGAGCAGATGAACTCAGTCATGTTGGGCGGACGAAACATTAAGGTTTGTTGTCTGTAGGTGCAGGAATGTCTTCATTGGGCCGATTTCAATTCTCCTAACTAATTCTCCTTTCTGCGTGTTTTGTGTCTGTCCATTTTCAGGTGCGTGTGAATGTCTGGGTGCATGTTTATTTTACTGTATGTGTTGTTGTCTTGTGTATTGTTTCCACACCATCATCAAGGCTGTTTAAGTGACCAGATTCAGCCTCATGCTCTCTGGCACATGGCGTCGCTCCCTGTCGCTGCGTGCGATGATGGGCTGCGCCTGGTTGGTGTTCCTTGGCCGCCACATCTGTAGTACAGATCTCCAGTCAAACTTGATTGCGTGTCGTGCGTTGACAATTTGCTTATTTCGCCAGATGCAGGACGTCTGAAAGTGTAGTTGAGGCGCATCGTGTCCCCCCTTTTTATATTGCCACCAGCTCAGCAAGTCACACGATGTTTTCAAGATGGACTTTTAGCCTAAGAGGAGACAGGTTAGAGAGGAAAGGCAGGGTAGAATAGAAAGAACCCCGAAGAAATTAGTTTGTCAAGTGGTGAAGAACACTTCTAGAGCACGGGTGGACAATCTGTTCCACAGAAGGCCACTGGGGCTGCAGGTGTTTGTTCCAACCAAGCAGCAGCACACCTGACTTTGGTGTGCTCTCGATAGGTTGGAGCAAACACCTGCAGCCACAGCAGCCATATGTGGAACAGATTGCCCACTGACCTCTAGAAGATCATTGGGAAATGAAGACCAAGACTCAGGCAGGAAGAAGAAAAAGCCAAATCAAGTTAAAAGATTAACCAAAGAAGGTAGTCATGCCTGGAACTTGTTGAAACTCCCAGAAAAGAGCAGGAAATAGACAATATGAGAACCAGGGAGGTAAATAATGCTGTATTCAGCTGAATCTTCAAGAACAAAGATGTAAATAACAATAAATGACAAGTCATCAGACAGATCACTCCCAACTAGTCAGTCTGGGTTTTATATAACCAGAGTTCCAGGGATATATAGTTTCCACGCAGTCCGATTTTGGTTGGTTAGCTTCTTCACTCATTGGCCCTGCTGGCATGATCTGTGCTGTAGGTGGGGCGGCCAAGTAACATCGGGCAGGCGCAACCCATCATTGACCAGCTGGCAGAGGAGGCGCGTGCCTTTAACCGGATCTACGTAGCGTCCGTCCACCCGGACCTGTCAGACGATGACATCAAGAGTGTTTTTGAGGCCTTCGGAAGGATCAAGTCTTGCACGTTAGCCAGAGACCCCACGTCAGGGCGACACAGAGGCTTTGGCTTCATCGGTGAGCTGGGGGCCTCTGGTACACTGGTGCTCCTCGGCTGAAGCTGCAGCGCTACTGACAAGTGTTTTTATTCCTCTGCAGAGTACGAGAAGCCTCAGTCAGCCCTGGACGCTGTGTCTTCTATGAATCTCTTTGACCTGGGGGGTCAGTATCTACGAGTGGGCAAAGCGGTGACTCCGCCCATGCCACTGCTGACCCCCACGACACCCGGTGGTCTGCCACCTGCTGCAGCTGTGGCTGCAGCGGCGGCCACTGCTAAGATTACGGCCCAGGCAAGTATGAATCCCTTCCAAAGGGATTTAATGGCCTTCCAGGTAAATATGACCAGATGTAGCTAGAACTGACACCAAAGAGCTAAGACTGTAGGGGCAGTAGTTTAATTCAGGTGACTGGAAGTTTGCCAATATACCTGCTTCATCATTCAGGAAGTTTTTAGAAGTGTATTGTATTGACCACATAAGGAGATAGTGTACACAGGCGTTTTCAGAGCAGCTAATTCGTCCACTCACAGTTAGGTCAGTTTGATCAGACAGTGACCACACCGTCACATACCTCGTACATGGAGTCGTGTCTGTTCATGTGTCCGTTGTCGCAGCAGCGTTTTTTTTTTTACTTGTTGATCTGCTGAGAACAGACCCGTTCAGTAGCTCCGGTTCAAACTGTTTGTCGATGACGTTGATTCTCACCAAGAGGCGAGATTGAGCGCATTCTGTGTTATGCTGTGTGATCGTTGACTGTGCTGCCTTGTGCTGTGTTCTGTGTGTTTCCCTTTACTTAATGTCTTCGGCCCCCCCTCTCTTAAGGAGGCTGTAGCTGGCGCGTCAGTCTTGGGGGCGTTAGCTGCGCCCCAACTTCTTGGTCAGCAAATGGGAATACCTCAGGCTGTCATGGCCGCGCAGGCACCTGGAGTGATCACAGGTAGGCAGCTGGACCGTGTGTGCCTTGGTGTGGTAGTACAAGTGGTAGAACAGAACCCAGTATGTATCATCATTGAGTAATTGCAAAATTATTTAATCTTTTTTTTCTCACTAGGTGTCACTCCTGTGCGCCCTCCCATACCAGTGCTTCCCCAGGTGGGTTTAGTAAACCCAGTTCTTGCATCGCCTCCGGTTCTGTCAAATCAAGCCGGTGCCTCCAACCAGTTGGAGAAGAAAGAGGAGAAGGAAGAGATGCTTCAGGATGGAACAGGACAGGAGATGCTGAGTGACCAGGAGCACATGAGCATCTCAGGCAGCAGTGCCAGACACATGGTGATGCAAAAACTACTACGGAAGTCAGAGGTGAGGGTTTGTTTTGTTTTTTGTTTTTTTTAATTATTTTTTCTTTCATTGTTCTGCTCTTGCTTTTTAAATTATTTTTTCTTTCATTGTTCTGCTCTGGTGTATCCTGATGATTTTTTATTTTTTTTAATTGAAGTCCACCGTGATGGTACTGCGAAATATGGTGGGGCCAGAGGACATTGACGACGACCTAGAGGGTGAGGTGACGGAAGAGTGCGGCAAATTTGGCTCCGTCAACAGAGTCATCATTTACCAAGAAAAGCAGGGAGAAGAGGAGGATGCAGACATCATCGTCAAAATCTTTGTGGAGTTTTCCATGGCCTCAGAAATGAACAAAGCTATCCAAGCTCTCAATGACCGCTGGTTCGGGGGTCGTAAGGTCGTGGCTGAGATGTACGACCAAGACCGTTTTAACAGCAGTGACCTGTCTGCATAAAATGAAATGGTTTACCTGTTCAGTCTCATCCTGTCATCCCACATTCATTTCAGCCACACTCACTGCAGATACAGATGCAGTTCTCCCACACCTTGTAATTATATTTTTATTTCCTTTTCTTTTTTTTTTAAATTGCTGTTGATATGAATGTTTATGGCCTATTTGGTTAATGCATTTGAAATATTCTTCAGTGTCACATTTTCATTACTGTAATCCAGTAAAGATCATCTTATTTGGTGCAAGGTTTTGAATTATTTTGTAATCCAGTCTTGTAAAAAAATGTTTTTGTTTCCTGCTTCTTTTTTTTTTCCATTAAGTTTCCAGGACATGTAAACATGTTTTCTTTCTACTATTAAAGGCTATTGTTTGTTCATACTTGTGTGAAGGATGTTTTTAATTAATAACTGAGTAGTGAGTAATATT